AACTGTAGTTGCGGGTGTGGTCTGGGGCACAACATCACACCCAGTATGGACACTTGGACTGGTTATAATATCCGTGTCGCGTACATCTGGAGCAGGGCGGCTGAGTTGATGTAAAACGCGTTCCTCGAACTGGGTGATGCGATTTTCGACAGATGACCATGGTGAAATGATGGAGTTGGGTAGTGCCAATTTGGAATCAAATATTTTTTCCACTTGTTTGGAAACTGCAGCGACTTGAGTCCCCAGTACGTTGACGATGTCGCGCAGGCCAGTTTCAACTGCTGCCAATCGGTCGCTCAAACGCACACTGGGGGGGACACCAGACGGCTGCATTACAGGCGATGGGTTTTGAAGTGAACCCAGTCTGACTTTTCCAACCGAACTAGATAGCAACCCAGATGTCCACAACAACGACGTAAACAGAGGGTGCGTGGGAGGCAACGTTGAGCTCAACCACGTCCGATGATGGACAATTGAGGCCAGTAAAAATGGCAGCGCCGATCGGAATGTCCTAGGATAGTGCGATTCGTAGCCCGGGAGGACTTGTTCCCACTGCTCCAGTGTCAAGGCCGGGCCAACAAAGTGCGGCGGCAGTATGGCGAAGTCGTCGGCATTAACATTCAGCCCTAATCATTATTATTTTTAAATAAAGGATTTATGTAATTGCTATTTTTTTTAATTGAATTGCCTTATACCTGCAGCACATCTTCCAACGAATTGATCGCCGCCAGTGCCAGAGAAAATATATCTGCCCTGAACGTTACCGAGACTCCAACCAGCCCTCAACCAAACTGACGTCATCGGTGGCCCGCCCGGAGTGTTTGTAATAGCAGTGGCCACCCCTTTACGAAAGGAGTGGGTTCCCAGGTCCTCCACACTCAGTCCAAGGGCGACAATTTCGTCGCGGTGCACCTGGCAGGTCTTGGTCAGCCACGCAGAAAACCGTTCCTTTGCATTCGCCCCAAATACAAGGGTGGAAGTACCCTCACGCCTCGACCCCCTGGTAAACACGAGCACGGCGAGGCTACAACACAACATATTATTGTAATTCAGCATAATTTAATTGTCAAAACATACTGAATATAATACCTCAACACAGGGCAGATAGTGGGATTCATTGGGTTGGCAAAGACATGCTTAGGGAAGCAAGTCTTTCCCTCTTGATCATTCTTCATCAGACCAAACTTGACAACCATTGCATCCCCTAAATTACTAAATACTCAACGACTCCTTTAAAACATTATAATATTATTTAGTGTACCATTCCAAGAGATGTGATCATATCGAATTGAACCAACGGACGCTGCCCTTGCCATCAAATTCCAACTGAACAGCAAAAAGCAGTGGACGTTGAGGTATTGGTTGTGAACCGATACATTCCCCAATGCTTTCGCGGCCAAAAACACGAACCCTATGTATATATTAAATTTGGCCACAACTCATAAACACTACTACGTAGTAGTATACCTGAAAATGATACAGGACTTTTGCCTTCATTGATTGACATAGTCCCGTTCTGCTTCATCTGGGCCACATGTCGCTTGTACCCATCCGAAAATGCTAATAAAAAATACTGCGTAGTATTAAAATAGTTTAGAAACAAATGTACCTGAAAGTGTTGAGTCCACTTCGGACGATACTTCCATGCTGGACTCCTTGTACAAGAACTTGATCGCACTCTTGTACCCGTTGACTGTCGATGCCGTGTTGAACGTTCTTGGCAACAGCTCGTTACCTTGCTTGTCGCGTTTCACGGACACGTAGGAGAGGTACATCTTGCACACATTCTCTGGAAGAGGTAACATTATGGTTTCGCCCACAACATGCACCGGGTTATTGGCTTGCAGCCATCGCTTGAAGTGCGAGACTATGGTGTTGTAATGCTGCCTTGTACCCTCCAGTAGACGAAGGCGTATGACGTCGTCGCCTGCCTCGGCCTCGCTCTCGTCAGCCTGACGTTTCCGGCCCATCAAACAAAAACTCCTTGTAAGTTATGCGGTATTTGCTACGGATAACCACTTTCGTAGAAGTTTCGTAATCCCAGCCAATCTGTCGATTACTCGATAGGTATACAAATATCAAGTACTGTAAATCTGGATTGGTTGGGGTTACGAAACTCAGACGAAACTATTTGTTTCGCAGTCCTATGGATTATCCGGCTATTACTTTCGTAATCCCCAACTATTGTACTAGTACTGTATTGTACAGATCAGATCAGAAAACACTTTAGATTCTAAATTGACTCCATTTGCTTTTCGAGCAAGCGAATTAACAATACAAAAGAATATTAATTTGAGTTTCAAAGTCCACGAAAATTCCTATATTGACTCCCCCTATTAACAACGCCGCCCAAACCCCTCCTACCAGGGAGGTAAAATAGCTCAGTCGTAGAGCATCGGTTTCTTAACTCAACGGTTCGAT